GAGAACTTGTATTAAAACTGAAGAATAAACGTAAGGGGCAAAAAACGGTGAAAGCTAAAGTACGAAATCAGAGGGCAGCACACGGTGCGATCGCGCGACCCTGCCCGTGAGCAATCTCCCAACTCATCTCTGCGCTGTAAGCATTAATAAAATATCGGTTTCAATGACATAACCTCTCAAGAGAAGTTCGAAGGTGTTCAACGCTAAACATTGATTTCGCGGATTTGGAGAAGTTACATTATTCAAGCTGCATAAGGTATTAGTCAAGAGGTGCTTAAAAACATTGCATTTTGGTAAAAAATATATAAATTATCATGTTTGTATTAATTGATACAGATATACTTCGTGAGAATGTAGAATTTGTCACTCTGCACTGAATATACGAACGAAGTTTTAAGATCTCTCACTTCACTTATTAAATGTTGATTGTATAGACGTAATACCATTGATAGATCGTAGAGAGAATCCCGAGCAAGAAGATTTAGTTATTTGAGTACATCTACTCATTCTATCCATCTAGGGTAAGTACTTTTGTCAATGAATTTGCTCATTTCTCATTTAATACTTTTATGATATAAAGAGTAAAGAAAATGTATGCTTTTTTTTGTATGTAAAGACTATTATGAATCCGCTCCTTTGAAATATTTTTCATGACTTTATGTCTTATTAATATTACGCATAGAATTCCATCCATAAATAAGTACATGAATTTATGGTTTTTATTTACGAATATGGGCAATGTTTTTACATTATTAAATATTACAGAAGCATAACAGAAAATTAATGATTAAAGAATGAACATTTTAATAGGTAGCAATAACACCGGTTTCTTATTATTTAACATTCTTTATTAAAAGTTTCATATAAAATAAGATTACTAGTTAATTAGCTAGTAAATTCTCAAATTAAGGAATATGTTCAGGGTTGTCTTAATATTTATCGCTCTGTTGGCTCCGCTACGGAGACACTTCATAATGCTTCAAAACTTGTGGATTGCTAAGGGTTAATACTTTGTTTAAAGGGAACTTAAATATTGTTGTTTGCAGTATCTGAAATATTGAATATATTATTTAATTCAAATAAAAATATCACTTTCTCTAGGGGGCCGGAGAAGCATCAACATGGCGAAGGTCAACACACGTGTTTTCTTCGATGTAGAAGTTGGTGGGCTTCCAATGGGTCGTATAGTTTTTGAACTTTATTCAGACATTTGTCCAATAACATCTGAAAATTTTCGTGCTCTTTGTACGGGAGAAAAAGGTTTAGGAAAAACAACGGAAAAACCTTTGCATTATAAAGGCATTGTTTTTCATAGAGTCGTTAAAGATTTTATGATACAAGGTGGAGACTTTTCAGTAGGAAATGGTACAGGTGGGGAGTCTATCTATGGCGGCACATTTCCAGGTAATACTATGTGTGAAGTATCACATTAATATTTCACAAATTCTATGTACTATGGCTTTTTGAATTATCGTTAACTGCGTTGTTAATATTAAATCATATACCAAGATTTAAGTACAATGCCTTTTTCTTCTTAATTTGACTGTGATAAATTTTATAATAAACATATTGTTACAGATGAAAACTTTATTATCAAGCACAGTAAACCATTTTTGTTATCAATGGCAAATCGTGGTAAAGATACAAATGGTTCACAATTTTTTATGTGAGTACAATGTGGTTATCTTTCTAAATATTCTTTCATAAGCCTAAGGAAGTCATTGAATAAGAAAATAATTCAATCATTTGAGCCTTCCCAGATGAGGTAATTAGAATATGGAAGAGAATAATGGGAAAGTGGTGCAGAATGTTCAGTATATTGTGTATTATTTATATTTTTCATTTAGAAGTATATATAAAAAAGTAAGTGTGAATTAANATAATTGTATATATTTGAAGGAATCAAAAAACATTGGAATTTTAGATAATTGAATGTTAGTAATGAATTCTATCTTAAATGGGAAATCTATATTCCCAATTGTGGATGTAAGTGAAAGTTCTATATAAACACTAATGTTACAGTATCGTTAAGTGATGGATTGTAGTTTTAAGGTGAAATGAAAGTGGCCGTAGAAGCGTCAAAATATTTACAAAACTTTTCTCTGAACTAGGTGCACGGAATTATTTTAAACATTAGCACGTGATTATGGAGGCCCTAAGGAAAAATGTGATGCTCATAAAGTTTCATTTTTGAAGAAAGTTTTATTTATCGCAGACTAAAACAAAGGACATATACTTTTGATATTTTACACCTTTCTTAGAATCGAAAATGGAGACCTTCATGTTCTAGACCTATTAATTTAGAACATTATAGTAATTGAACAGTACAGATCTATGCAGAAAATATCGAGAAAGGTTTTATGAGATGGGTGAAGTGAAGTTCTCGAACATTTCGTGAGAACACGTGCTTTGTAATTCTTAGAACAACAATTTAGTTACTACCAAATGTGACAGATAGAACCTTTGGTCAATTGAAGCACTAAAAATCATGAGTCCAAGAGATTTTTTTTAATTTTACATCGATCTCTTTATAATCATTCTGCTGAAATAACATCTGGAGTACTTCATTTCGTATAATTGTCAATGTAAGTGTAATAGATGTTAATATAGATAATGTAACATGCCAACTTATGTTACCGCTCAAGTATCCAAAATGGTATTACCACCGAAAAGGGTATGGTAAATTTTATAATATCGACGTTGATTAAATTTCTTGGTGCCTTTCATATCACCTTAGTATATTGCAGAAAATATTATAGTAAATTCTAAGCTTTAATAATTTCAGAAGCAATATTTTATAGGTTATGTAAACGATTAAGTTTCTTTGTTGCTATTTTTTTTTCTTTTAACAAACTAAGCAGTTAGTATAATAGAAAAAGTAAATAAATCAGAGAAATTATACAAAATAATTCGATAAATTGAAAGCAAGTGGATACTTATCAGGTCATGTGCTGTAAATAATCTTCCAAAATATTTGAAAGTACTTTGTCATACTTAGCAGTTAAAAGTGAATCTGGAGGAATGAATAACTTAACGCTGTTTTTGTGTAGTCGCGAGGGAGGGGTCTGTGCACAGCTACAACAACACAATGACCACTGAAAGCTGGCTCTTTCTGTACACCACTCATCCCCTTAATTATATTTTGTTGTTGTAGTACAACGCAACCAGCGCCTCACCTCGACAAGTTAGTAACAAATAACTAAATATAACCATCCCACTCTGAATGTTAATTTCAATCCATCAATTAACAAATAACCTTTCCTTGCAGTGTGCATGTGGTTTTCGGCGAAGTCGTCTCTGGTCAAGAGATCGTATCACACATCGAAGGACTTCCTGTCGACCGTATGTCCCGTCCGCTTCAAGATGCTAAGGTCGTAAACTGTGGAGAACTTGTATTAAAACTGAAGAATAAACGTAAGTCTAATTAAAGAAAAAATATGCTATCTAACTTAATATTTATTATATTTATTTATATATTTGGAGCCAGCAAAGAGTATATTAATTATATCTTTCTTGTAGCTAAAAAACGAGAAGTAAAGAGTAGTTCATCAGCATCAGACTCGGACTCATATGAAGGGAAATCCAAGAAGCGGAAGAAAAACAAGAAAAAGTATGATAGGAGTTATCCTTTAACGTTGTATAGAGTATAAACCTTTTGTATTGTTTTTTTCCTTTATTAGTAAAAAAAGGGCGAAGTCTGAAGAAGGCGAGGTTCCTGATACGGAGGATGAGAGTCAAAAGATTCACCCACTTGTATCGGTCACAAAAATCGATCCAGACGAAATACCTGAAGTACCAGCAAATAAATTCCTGTATCGAGCAGGGCCTACTAATAACGCTAATCAGAAAGAATTTCGGCAGCATTATGGAAGAGACCGGTTACGTAGTCATAGAAAAACAGGCAGAATTTTCAAAGGAAGGGGCATTTTTGTATGAATTTTTCCTCTATTCACACGTAATACTACACATACACATATGTATTTAAATACAAATAATATCCATTCAATTTCAGAGATACCATACCCCTTCGCGAAGCCGTTCTCGAAGTGTAACACCTCCACACTGGAAGCAAGCTCAGAATCGCACAATAAAGTTGCATGAATTTCAGGTACTCGCATGTACTCTTTTATTATTTCAGATACGTTGCGTAACCATGTAATTTGTTTAAAAAAATCCTGGTATATACCAACAGATAAAAATCATTTATTTTAATAAGTTTAACAAGACATTCCATAATCGTTTAAAATTTCTTCATTCACACGTTTTTCTTGAAATTTCTTTTCTCTATGTTCATTCTTTCAATTTCATTTCTTAGAGGTTCAATTTCCCATAACTCCTATATAAATATTTTACAGAAACTCGAGAAGGAGCGATTAAAAAAAGAAGAAGATGCCAAACAGCGGGAAACTGATAGAAAAAAGAAGTTTATAGAGCACGATGGCGAAGAGGAGGCTGAAAAATCAGTCAACGACGACGCTAAGAAACCAGACGGTTCGGAGTGTAAAGAAAACAATAAAGTAAACACGAAGGAATTTCCGGAGCAGAATTCTCAGAATGAAGACAATAAAAATGCTAATGCGAAAAATGATACCATTTTATCGGATAAAACGGAGTCGAAGCGACGAGATGAAAAAACAATGAGGCGTGATCGTAGTCGATCTCGCATTGACAAAGGACCTAGACGAAGTCCCAAAGATAGACGCAGCTTCAGAAGGAGTGGCCGTTCTAGGTCCAGAGAAAGACGGAGATCTAAAGAAAGGAATTATGATCGCAAAAACAGAAGGACTTACTCTCCGCGTAGAGACTCTAATAGATTTCGTAGATCTAGCAGAGACAGATACAGACGTCGTGACAAGCGCAGCGAGGAGAAAAAAGTTAGCGGTACTGAAAATAAAAAAGGCGACACAAATTCAGCGCTTAATAACAAAACAAAAGACATTGACGCTTCGTCAAACTCTGCGTTGAATCCAGTCGCACAGCCGAAATTCAAGCGTCGATCGCGCACTTCTAGTTCTAGCAGTCAGCATTCTAAAGAGTAGAATGCAAAATATGCACATTTGACCCATTGATAAGGTTTAAATGTCCCAGAAGTGAAATTAATCTATTCCCACTTGCATTTCTTCACTGATTCTATACACATATTAGAACGCGCCAGAAAGTTGCATTTTCTCTTCGACCACTCGCCATAAACGGCATTAATGTATTACTAAAATTGAATTTTCGATTGCCGTTTTTAACAAATTTATGTGCACTGGGTTTAATCTTCGATACTGTAGTAACTTGAAGGCTCTAGTAAACGTAAATCGGCCAGTTTGAATTAATGGCGTCAGAGGCAAGGAAATCGCATGAAATTCCCAGACTGGTATTTTTCAAAATGAATGACATTTTTTACAAAAACTAACACTGGAAGAAATTACATAGTCAGGAAATGTGTCGATGGGTCAGTTTTTGACGGATCATGCACTAGGAAACCAGATTAATTTCTGAGAATCGACTTGCCAAGGTCAGTGACAGGCTTATGATTACAAGGGTAATAATCACAAGATAGACATCCCATCAACAGGATGATAGTAGACATCAATATCATCTCAAACACGGACTTACCGACATATTTTACATATCCACCACGGGTCCAAAATAACAATTATTTTTATTGTTTTGATTACGAATAACCATTATAAATGACTACATTTTTGTTTGGCTACGAATTACCATTATAGATGATTAAAACGGTTTCGATTACGAATACCATTATCAAGCCTGAAAGGAAAAGGGAACGGAAAATAAGGACAGCGCAATTGAGTACACAAGCAATTACACGTTTAAGAACAAATCCCAAACCAATGCATAGCAATGTTGTCAGCGCGATCCGTAGTTGACACTTCGGCATAAAGCTATATACATTAGATCTTGATTTTGTCGTAGCCCAACATTTTCCGTTCGAGAGTCGTTTGACAAAGTGGGTCAGATGTTTAAGTCATCACTTCGAATAAATTTTAATGAGCTTATATGACTCACACGGAAACATTCCGAAGTGTCCGCCCCCGATCTTATTGATTTTCATATATGTTGAAGAACACAAAAATCTAAGAGACACGTGTTTTTTTATATCTGCAATGGTCCACATTTAAGGGGCGAAACAACCCCCCAAAGTTTGGCGAAAATTCGATTTTTATAATAATTTTCGTAGAAGCAATGGAGGGATTTCAACGAAACTTGGTATAAACGTATTCCGTATAAGGACGGTGAAACACAATATTGTCCAGCAATGCTACACCCCCTTAAGGGGGTGAACTACCCTTCAGGCGACATTTTTTTGTAATTTTCTATTAAACAAGCACTCCTACTTAAGTTCCACTTACGCGATGTAATTGCTCACAAAAAATGAAGAAATACGTATTTTTTGCTTTTTGCCAATGAACATTTACACATCGGTTGTAAACAATGAATGTAGGTGGTATACGGGTATATTCCAGCTAGCTTTATTGGGTTATATCGTGACCAATTCATTGTATATAAATGTTGTGAACGTGCTGGTTCCTCAAAATGTCGTTGGTTTTCATAACATGCAATTATTTATAAATAAATTTAAAAGGAAGTTTAAGAGACTAAAATAGTTTCGCAACAGATCCGATGACGCGGTCATTACTTGTTTCCAACTAGTAATACAATCTCCTTGGTGAAACGGTAAAATTGGATTTTTACTGTTTTTACGAAAATAGAGAACGATATTCGTACATAATTGCATGTAATGAAAACCAACGACATTTTGAGGAATTAGCACGTTCTCAACATTTATGTACAATGAATTGGTCACGATATAACCCAATAAAGCTAGTCGGAATATACCCATATACCACCTACATTCATTGTTTACAACCGATGTGTAATTGTTTATTGGCAAAAAGCAAAAAACACGTATTTCTGCATTTTTTGTGAGCAATCACATCGCGTAAGGGGAACTTAAGTAGGAGTGCTTATTTAATAGAAAATTACAAAAAAATGTCGGCGGAAGGGTAGTTCACCCCCTTAGGGGGGTGTAGCATTGCTGGACAATATTGCGTTTTCACCGTCCTTATACAGAATACGTTTATACCAAGTGTTATCGAAATCCCTTCACTGCTTCTACGAAAATTATTATAAAAAACGAATTTTCGCGAAACTTTGAGGGGTTGTTTCACCCCTTAAATGTGGACCATTGCAGTTATAAAAAAACACGTCTCTTAGATTTTTGTGTTCTTCAACATATATAAAAATCAATAAGATCGGGAGCGGACACTTGGGACTGTTTTGTCAGTGCAGACTAGGGGATGTTTATTCAAATAGTAGCAACATCCTATTATACATTTCCGAAAAATTAGTTATTAAAAAATGAGTGTACACCGTATAAAATCACCTAATATTCAGTCTATCACGAGTGACAATCTCACGCGTAAGACGCTGGTCCTGGGAAAAACCGATCGATTTTTGGTTAAAGTATTTTTTTAATTCGACTCAATATTGTTTTCTCTATTTTATATATTTTTTGACATACCAGTACTCCATTACAAATAACTAGGGTTAATAAAAAAAATTGTCGCATACAACAGGAAAGAATTAGATTTAAAATTATTAAAAAAATTAATTATTTGCATTGAATTTAATTTAACAACTTGAACGTTCATCTGTGCTCTTATTAAATATTCGAACACATTGAGTATGAACACGTACCAAATATGGTTAAATCTTGTGTCTATTGCACGGTAATAAGCTGTATGAAGCATGTTGCAACATTGTGCAAAACAGTCGTTAGTATCGGCATCGAAAGAAACCGTCAGAATCAATGAAGCTTCGCATATTTTATGAAAGTGGGCAAAGATCATTCATGATTTTCCGACTACGTCTACTGGGGTCTTAACTATGCAGTGATGTCATAATATAACACTTTGAACGTTGAACAATTGCATATTTCATGTAGTGTATTAAGGAAAAATCGGTAAAATTTAGACGTATTGGCTAAAAAATGTGAAATTTTCGTTAGTAGTGGGATTAATATTTTTCAGTGATGAAACGATAAGGAAAAGAAAATGCATTTTTCGATACATTCTAGCGTGGAAATTTACAAAACAGTTTTTAATTCCGTGTTTATATCTTGTTCTTTTTTACTTATTGGGTTCCTGTTTTCTTATGCCACTGCATAAGTGAGAATTTGAATGTCGTTTTGAAAAAGTACAATTTTCCGAATGTTTGTGCATGTACCACTGAATATGACTGTTCTGTATAATTATAAACAAACAGGGAATAACAATGTAGGTGAAAGGCTTGATGAAAGTGAGTCAGTGGTTTTAAATTATCACAGAAAAATGTATGTCCATTTATACTATAAAATGAATGATAAATTACCTTCTCGGAACACGTACACTAGCAAAAAGGAATAAATTCTGACTCGAAAAGTATAATCTTTTATATTTACACCATTTTACCCATACTCCAGTTCATTTGCAATGTATTGAAACTTACCTTTATCCGAGTATTTTTGAAATTGTTTAAATACATTTTGAAACTTCAAATAGGTGCTCACGCGCTTTTCCATGGTAATACTTAAAGAATTATTTCAAAAGTGTGCTTAATTACATTTTCATGATTTAACAAATTATGTCATTTTATGTAAGGTAAGGTTTACACGTCTTTTTTTACGACTCTTTTCGGTACCTAATGTTACTCTTTCTGTGACGGTGAAATCGCGCAGAGTGGGGGCAATACAGAATAGAGCTTCACAACGCCGTAGAACGAAAAAGTGCCCATAATTGTACTCTGCGCATGTGTAAAAAGGCGCGTAAACCATGCTTTTGTTACATAAAGTATCGTATGTACCACGGAGGTAAGGTCTTTTACGCCCTTCGTACATGCAGTACTTGCCTTCGACTCACGAGCCGAAGAGAAGTATTGCAAGCACACGGGGCGTAAAAAGACCCACTTTGTCTCCTTGGTGCACAATATACTATTGTTAAGACTTTTTTTAATCCATCACCTTCAAAATAACTAAATAATTTCCTGCAACTGATGAGGATTATGTTTACGAATTCTGTAAAGTGAGATAGGTTCACAGTATACATAGGCAGTTCTATGACTCTATCGGTAATGAATTAAACGAGAATAAAACCCGTATTGCCCTTGTGTTTCCTTTAAAATATATTTCATCCTTATGTAACGTTACATCTAATATCCACAAGATAGTAACGTCACGGTGAATGGTCTATTCTTGGATATCATATGCTACAATTTAAAACGTTTTATTTATATATATACTTTAAAGGGGAATGGTACACACGATCATTTTCTCTGTGTGAGTTTTCACACCTACGAGGGGAAAGTCATTTGTCACCTCCACACTATCACTGGAGACTGCCGTTGAATACCCAAACTTGACATTTTTGAATGAGAACATGCGAAGCTGGCAACGAGGGCATTTCCCTCGCATAAAACTTTAGTGACTTCCCGCTACGAGCGCTAGTTACGTGTAGTGGGCGACAGCCAGCTACAGGATCGTTCTTACCGGGGCCCTTGTAGAATTTTCCATTAGATGTAATTAGAGTTCTAAATCCAGTAAGTTACGTCAGAAACGAAGAGAAATTCCCGGTAACTTATCGGTAATTTCTCCAAAGCCTTTTTTATCGAGAAATTATGAGAATTTGAATTTTTCAACAGATCGAACGAGAGGTTTCGATTAGCTATAGAGAAACATCGTAGAGGAGAATTTCCGTTGTACGTTCTCCGTAGCCAATCAAAACCTCCCATTCACTTCGTCGCAGAATGAAATATCAGTTCATTTGAAACAAATCGCATGGAATTTTCCGTGAAGTTGTACATACGTGAATATTTTTAGCTGGAGGTAAATACGACCCTATAATCAATATTTTCTAATAGTAATTATTACTCTTTAGCTTGAACTTTGAAGTTGATTGAAAAAAAAAAAGTTATTTAAACGAAGAAACCTAAAGTATAAATAACAAAATTAACGTTCTCTTAAATTCTCAATGTTCCCGGTAACTTACGGTATGTTTCACAGTTACCTTCTCCAATTTAATGTTACCGAGAATTTTCGAACTCTAGATGTAATACGTACATACACGCTTCACGAAAACGCACAAAACTCAAACGTCGAGTTCTTTTGTTATGTAGTACAAGAGATACATGTTTTTTAATGAACTTTTTTTATTAATAAAGTTTTTATTTCTTTACGTGAAGTATGACATTTTTATTGACGCCTGGCGTCCGATGCGAGGGGGTATTCACTCAGGAAATCATGGATTTTAATGCTCGAAATTACATGGAAATCAGCTGGAACTTGCAAGCAGAAATCACTGGAAATCGTTGGAAATTACCAAAACATTGCCGCAATTTTATGGCTGACCATCAGTTGTTATCGAATCGCATTGTTGTTTATTGTATGAAATCATATGTAATCGATTCTGACAGAAGAAAATAGTTTTCACTGATTCTCGAGTGAATAGCTCTTCGGCACAATGACTAATGCTCGGCGTTACTGGGATAGGGCTGATGGTCATCGAATCGCGGTGCTTTGACTTCCACGACACGGTACAACAATGTTCTTATGCCATAAGTGTTGCCACTGCTTGCCATTACGTGGCAGCACGGTCAATTCAGGCTTTTTCGAGTCGTACCATTTCCCCTTAGCTTACAATATATAGTTTAGCATTAGCGCGGTAGCAATGATTCAAGATAAATGATGATGATTGTTCAAATTTAAGGTGAAGTGAAACACGTCGAGGAACTTGATCAACGTCGATAAAGAAGATTTTTCTAAATGCCTACGTTGCCGACGTTCGTTTTTATATTGACAACTGGGTCGAATTATATTGGGTATTGTACCAAATGGCATATTCCACTTGTCGTTTACGTACAATAATTATAAAGAAATCGAAGTAAAACTCCAGAAATCCTCTGGATTTATGCTTTCTGGGGCCCTAATTGACTGCAGGGGGACCCCCTGCGCCATCTGTGATTTCCAGGTCAATTAAAATTTCACTCCGAGACCTCGTATTACCATCGTTTTAGCAAAGAAGCGCATACAACATTTTTTTGCCTTTATCCCGTTCAAATCCGAGTT